GAATTTTATCAGTTGTACAGCTCTGTTACATCTCGCATTTAGTTTTGCGTTGGGTGTAACACATCTGTAATGGGAAGAAAGTTTACAACCTACTCAAAACAACGACCTAGCTTTCTAGACCTTTATTGCACGGGGTCAATGAACATACCTGCCCTGCAAGGTAAGATTATCGGGCTATTTTACGGCATAAACGCTTGTCCATGTCAAGAGGACGTTTGATTTAAAATAGGATTAACTTACGGCGTAAGACGATCGGATTATTTTGAAATGTTTCTGAAAATTAATTGTGCCGAGTGAGGGTCTTTCTGCGGGGAGCGAGGGCAGTGCTACAAATACACACCATTGTGGTATACGTTGCGATATCTCAGGTTTAATAAGCTGGTTAACAAGGGACGCGGTTCAAGCTCGTTTTCGATTTAGGTGAGACGAAAATTGAACATGCTTTCTGACTACAGGGTGCGCTAGTAGTCTGTTACAAAAATGTTGAGAAGCCAATGGTGTAATTTTGTACAGTATCTTAGTGCCCCCCCCCACCCCATATCAGAGGATGCTGAACACCCCTTGAGACACATTACACAAGAGGTGGCATGCAGCAATATGTTTGACTGCAGTTTTATGGTCTGATTGTATTACCAGTGCATGTATATGTAATTTAACAAAAATTAAGAAAATGAACATTGGCACAACTATCTCCAGTAGGAAGAGACTGTGGGCAGTCAAAACGTCGACACTCTTATATGGTAAAGGTTGCTAAAGAAAGAGAAATAAACAAACCCCATGTCCTGTTATTTGCTTGATTATTACAATGATTAGATTTAAAGACTGGAAAAACAAAACGGTGCGGTCTAGACAACAGTCAAACAAATAGTGTCGGAACCCCCAAATGAAATAAGTTCGTCTAATTAATTTGAAACTCGCGCAGAAGGTCTGCATGAAACCGCTGAGAAGAAGAGTTGTAGGATTTTGTTTGCCAAGTAATTGCCACGAGGATTTATTGGGGCTCTGAATGATAAAACCCACTTGCCAGAATCGTACAAGCATTATTCCGTATAATAGATAAAAGACATAGATAAGGAATGATACAGGTGGAAAAAAATAAAGAAATCGCAGACATAATACCACATGATACCAATCGTTACCCTGTGGATTTCTGTACTCCAGAAGACAGCCATTTATTCTATATCATCGAAGTTATCATCATTATTATTGTTATTAATTCGACTTTGTATTTAATGGTCGGGAATGACAAGTAAACTATCCTAGGATCCTGTAATGTAACCATGTAGCCATTTGTAAAATTACCCATGTACATGTGTAGCAAGGCTTAAACGATGAGAAGCACATCTTATCAGCGCATTGGTGTTGGTGTTGAAAGCTGAAGCAAACTCTTCCCACCCCCCAACCTCAACCCCCCCACCCCCCTCGTTCCATATCACTATTCATTTAAAGTTGCAACTGTAGAGATAAGAATCTTAACGACAAACATTTCCGTGACCAAAGAATGTTCACAACTTGATGATGGATGTCGGAAAAGCGCTTGTGAGAAAAGAACCATAAATAATGCTGATTGTCGCGTTTGATATTTAATGCAACTTCGGCTATATACCCATTGTTCAGGGTGAATTGATATATCGTTGTATCTATCCTGGAACAATGGGCCTACTGTCGCTATCTCTCTCACTCAGGAAATCAGACAGGAGATATTCAAGGTCATTTTCACTTTATCGCCATATGTGTAGTTTTTATTCCTTTTTCACCAAATTACAGGGGCGGATTTAGGCCGTCTTCTGGGTCTTCCGGAAAACGGTCAGATTTTCAAGTTTACATTGACGGGTATCAAATTTTTACTGTCGGAAGACGGTCAAAAATGGAGGATATATCAACAAAGATAATTTGGAAGACTGTCAAAATATATATCTGGATCCGCCCCTGAATTAGATGGATTTGATGTGTACCTGGTACACAGAATAGGGTTTATTCTGTAGGTGTGACTTGTGAAGTTACACTGGCCAAACATCGAGAAAGTTGGTGCTAGGGATTGTGTGATGAAAGTAACGTTAGATATATAACGATAACTATTTTCCGTGGGGTCTAATCCGACGAGATGTTTCAATGCAATGTGGGCATGTACATGCATGTGTTCGTGTATGGATACGTGCTTAAGTATGTGCACTAAGAGTATGTGATTGTGTCTGTGACGGGTGTCTGGGTGTGTGTGTGTGTGTGTGTGCGCTGTGTGTGTGTGTGTGTGTGTGTGTGTGTGTGTGTGCGACTGTGTGTGTGTGTGTGTGTGTGTGCGTGTGTGTGTGTGTGTGTGCGTGTGTGTGTGTGTGTGGCGCGTGTTTAATAAAAAAGGAAAGATATATATTTCGTGGAGAAGGCTCACATGGATAGCAAAAGAAGAAAATAGATAGCAATGACTCCTCCTGTGTAATATATCCCACTTTTAATTGATATTCGGTAACAAGCCCGCCCTTGTGTGCCAATAGAAGAGGGACGCTACGAACATCTTCGATCAATAACGATCTTTTAGTAAATGTCTGTATACTGCAATACGTATTTATAATTTTACTATAGATAACAACAGGATGTGCAATCTCAAAAACTGTTAAGACCCTCCCTCCCCACCTTCCTTTGTAGAACCATCCCGCATTCTTCACCTTTGTTTTCCACGGAAAACAGAAGTCCGAATGGTAACATTACATTGCAACACGCAACTTAACCATTAGGAATATTAACAAGTCTGTTACACGATATCACCTTTGACTTATCATCTTTCGCGGCACACCACCTTGAAAAAAGTTAAAACTCTAAAGCGACTCACACGCGTATTTTTTTTTTTTTTTTTTTTTTTGTGTACATGTATTTTGTGGTGATGGCACGTATATTCCTTGATACCAGTATTACCAAATCGTCAAACATGCATTTTGATTGCTTAACATATGTCGAGGTTTATCTTTGCTCCATATTACAGATCATATTCCGTTGTAAACCTTTGTTGAAATGTGCCTACTCCCAGTACGACTAGTTTTTTTTGTTGGTTCTCAAGTTTCTTTTATGATGACACTGCGTTTCATAAATTTAGCGCACGCAAACTTAACCAGCATGCGCGACGTCTCGTCTTGCGTTATAATTCCTCGGCGAAAAGTCATTAGCTATTATTTCCTGACCGTTGTCAAAACTTATGTTGTAGGAAACTGCAATTAGGACCATATAGAATTGCATATTTTGTTTGTTACGCATTGTTAAAAAGGCGGGAAAATAATTTTTCATTTTGAGCAGCTTCTTTTAAAGTCAGGTCAAATATTTTGCCTAATGATTCGACTGAATTCACAGGTTGCGTTTGGGAAAGAAGTCGTTAGAAAATGCGAGTCGATCACGCGCTTTCGTTTAAGTGATGATCCGAATTCGAGGACATACTGGTAGGTCCATATACCGAGTGAATAACTTTACACAATAGACCCTAATTAATAGGTGAATATGTTCTTTTGTGGAAAACAACAAATTGATCGATAGCTTAGGGCTTTTAATTTTTTTTACTACATCATTTACCCTGGATGTCAATATCTACACAGAAACCATCCAACAGTTGCAACACCGCCTTCAACCGACGTTTCCTTTTCTCTCATCCGTGGAAAATCAAAGTTACCATCTTCGATGAACATCATGCTTGGTGATAACACTATCGGTCAATTTTGTTTGATCAGACTTCAGATGCACAAATATGAGATCATAATCTATGCTTATTGTATATGTTATAAACCTACTTCTTTCTTTATTTATTTATTTCTTGCTAAGCTTCTTTTTATGCTGTAAACTGTAGAACTACCGATGAAGCTCTTATCGCCCAAATTAAAGAGTTAAAAATGACTACAGAAAACTGAAGTGCCGCTTGGCTAACAACTCTTAAACCACTCGGCCCGTACTTGACGTCCGTTCCCTAAGCCTGTTAGCGGCGTCCGTTCTGTTTACCCTCACTCGATGACCGAGCAGTGTCAACTCTTAATTGCTGTCAACTGTACCTGGGTCTGTAACCGTATCGGATTACCTATATTGCTGATGGAACATGCAGTATTGGTCCAGCTGATAATTCATGAAATTATACACGGTGTTCATTTTTTTGCCTTGAAAAGGCCTATAATGACGTTTACATAAGCTAAATCGACATGTCAAAAATTATATGGAGTTAATAGATACAAAAATGAACGATTAAGGATTACATATATATCCATAATGTATATTTTTACGTATGTGCATCAAAGCCTCACATAATTCAACTTAAGGCCAAAAGTGTTTCAAGTGTAAGTTAAACTGTATGGTCTTTAGGTTACTGACCTCGCTCCTTGGAAGATATTTTTGAAAATGTAAACTTTTTTACCCAGAAATAACTCTCTGAAATGTGATATGAAAGAAGACAGTGTGTTTGTGCAGTGTTATTCAGATCATCAGAATGTTGGCTGATGCAAGGTTTTGCTATGGGGAGGGGGCAAAAGACTAAAAGACTTTGTCAAGCATTTAGGTGTACCTGTACTGGTTTTGATCGGGAGAAAGATGATACCTTAAAAGCAAAGAGTTGGACATGTGCCCGCTGTCACACGTGTCACATTAGAATTCAAAAAGTTTTATCGGAGACCAGTGCGGAAAGGTTGCAGTGCAGTGACATTTACGGGATTTGAATCGAAAAAAAAGATAAATGTCATATTCAGTGCATTCTTTGGAAACTTATCGCATTTATTTCATTTAAGTTTAGTTTATATTTGATATTAATATAATCAGATGTATACCCCATTAAAAAAACTGTTTTGTTAATAACGCTGAGATATTTGCATCCATTGTAAGGGATAATAACAAAAAGAGAGGCCTACTTTGTGACGCAATGCACTGAGAGGTGAAGGAGAGTCGGATTTGTGGTTAAGCAGAAATATCTGCGGTTAACAATATGCTAAATGAGGTAGGTAAAGTGCGTATATGTAAAACAGACGCCTCTCGCTTAAGGCTTTAGTATACAGCCGGTCCATTACCTTGCAATCAACAGTGCTAGTGATAGCGGTAGCAGTAACAGTCAAAGTGTTTTGGATACATTGACAGCAGTTTCAGTGGATTGAATGCATGTTGAAAAAGCAGAACTAGTAAGTAGTCAGCAGTTGTGTGGTTTACAGTGAAAGTGATAGTAGTGGTGCCAAAAAGTATCTCACGTTTGTTCACCAGCCGTTGGGAATGTCGTGCTGTTGTATATTAAGCTAAAGTTATGATTTTCATATGCGTACGCGGTTGCTCATTCTCTCTGTCACACACATGCGCGCTCGCAATCTCTCTCTCTCTCTCTCTCTCTCTCTCTCTCTCTCTCTCTTACATGTGAAGACTTGAAAGCAACGTTTCTTATTCTGGAATAAGTGAAGTGTTCGCGTCACCTTGATTAAGGCCTCAATGAAAAGTGTAACGATTAAGTATGGAAAACAGTTACAGTGGTAACAGACATAAAAGCAGTTAATTTCGTTGCGGGGACGTGTGGGTGAACCTTAAATAGAGGAAATACAAAAACAAATAACATTATTTCATCAATACGTGTCAATTACATATTAAAACAGCATTTGCGTGCGTGAATTTGATGTGCAATAACGTTATCTGATGGCTTATCTTTACTTAGAGGAATCGATGTGCTACTGCGACAAAAAGAAAAAGGGCATTCTTCATGACTCGTGCCATTAAGCCTCAGGAACATATTTAAGTTAAAGTCAATCTCCTTGAAGATAATATATGATTGGCCGTGATCATAAACCATATTTTTACTAATAATAGTTTTGCTGGATCGTGACAAAGGTGTAGTGTTATTATTTTTCACCGCAAGTAGGGTTGTTTTGGTGCACCTTTTTGATGGAATCGCGTGACTTAGTACTGCTTCCTCTGGTCAGAAGATAGCTCTTGATTCTATTGATAGGTTTATCTTCAGTGAACATTGAGTGTACTCTTGAAAAAGAAATAAAAAAGATATAAAAGTAGGAATGACAAGCGGAATTAAGCGCTTAGAAGAGTAGAGAGAAAGTTGGTACATGAAGTAGAATATAGATACATAGCCCAGTATTTTATCGAGGGAATTAAGCCAAGGGGAAGGGAAAATAAATTATGATTGCATTACGCAGAAAAGGTGAAATAAAAACAAAGGAAGGAAGGTCAAGTATGGATAAATAATGAAAGAAAGAAAAAGGGAGTCTCAGAATACATGTATAAATACTGTAGCATTTGTCGTTAGAAGGGAGCGCGTTTCAATGAACACAGCGTTCACCAATTTGTCAACATCGTGTCAACACCTGCATACAGAGCAAACAGCTGGGTCGTCTGACTAATGGTCAAGACGTTAAAAGCCAGAAGTGGCCATTCGAAGAAAGTGCGCAGCTTGTTCAAATGTTTAATGTATTCCGAAAATATTTGCGAATACTTCCTATTATGTGCTGTCGAAGTAACTAAAAGGCAAACGGTGCAGTGTGAAACGTGTATGGGTCGGGATCGGTCCAATTCAGAAAACGAGGGACGATTGTGAAAATATGATCTCACGGATCAAAGGATAAATATTCTACTACATAACTTCCACTGATGATGAGTTGGATAAAACCCAGAATGACATGTTTGTTTGACATATTGCCTCGTCTTTCACCCTATGCCAATTTGAAAGAGAAATATTGTGCATAAATTCAATACACATTGTTTAATCTATAGGCCTACGTTTTTTAAAAGTTAGCATTATCATCAATTGGGCAGGTAAGACGCATCTTCTTTCGCCATTCAAACAGATTCGAACCTTTCTTCATGGGTCAGTTTCGATCAACATATTTCATTTGATCGCCAGTGCGTGTACGATTAAAACTGTAGATTTTGGAAGGAATTTGGGGTCAATTAAGTGCAGTTGAAATAGAAAGAGTTGGCCTTTTATTAGCCACAATAGATCGCTTTCACCATTGGGAAGAATTAACGAGAATCTGCAATCAAGTACTGAGTACTTTCTTTCTAAAATTAGACCTGAAATTAATAAGGTAAAGCTTATAATGACAGGATACATTGTAGAAGTTTATGAAATGTTTATGTATTGTTTATGTATGCAGCGCATAAATCAAATGAGGGAGCGCTCTCTCACATTATCTGATGCCTTATAGATTATATACAATGGAAACAAACTGTTTAAAGTAGAAAACAGATGTGTATCGCTGTGGCCAGGAGGGTTAGACCTCCTACGAAGAAATGTCACGGTTTAAGAGAGAACGTCACCGAAGGAATGAACCCCTTGCCAAAACCGCACCTATATTTTTCTGCAAAACCATCGTAATATAAATAACAGGAGGGAAATCGCTGAATATTCCACAGCTGTATTGTTGCTTTTGATTGTACGCTTGTTTGAAAATACGACAATGAAATGTCCGAAATGTATTTAAAAGCGTTGTTTTGCTTCAGATACTGATAAGATTTTGAGAGCAGTGGTATTCATTGCCTGCATTTCACTCCTAAAGGCATTGTTTTAGCATAAACAATTGATCATTTGTAAGATAATACGTGCTGCGGGGCATCATAAAAAGCTTCCACATGGATTTATTTCTTGAGTAAGCATTTAACGCATTTTTACATTTAAAAAAAATTACCTTGATGTTTAGGTCATAGAGAATTGTGTATGCAGGCGCGACAAAAATGATAGTCATTTTCAACTTAGATAAACAATGTATCCCGTATTGTGGCGTAATTGTCCATAAAGGAATCTCACATTGTTGTTAAGTTACATCACGTGACACATTTGCACTTGATGAACCCGCAATCTGCGGGGATATCAGTTCAAAGGTCCAATGTGTGCATGAAGACGTTGCAAAACAAAGCACGCTAATCCAAAAATGAGATAAGCATCTTGTTAAACTTTAAGACCCCACCATGCCAGTATACTGTGTTTCAGTGTTTCATGAGAGTATATGTAAAACCACGGTGTCTCTAACATAGTTTCTAAAATAGCCAGGTAGACTACCTCAAAGTATAGATGTACATTAGTTTGAAATATACATGTGCCTACCGAAATTGATTTCCTTGCATCTATCTCACCGCCTATGTGAAGTTGCTCAGAAGACTTATATCTCATACCAAATGTCTTCAGTACATTCGCTAGTGTAAATACGGCATATTAGCTTGGGGAATAATGAAGAGAGATAGCAATGTAGTTTGGTCAACCCGCCCAAAACGCAATTACGCTTTTAGTATTGTTTTCAATGTACAGCACTAATGCACTGTGAAGACGATATTCGACTTCAACAATATTCAACACCTCAGGCAGCGCCGTGTACATGGGATTTTCCCTGCCAGCTATTCGCCGTGAAATCGCTCTTAAACATGCAAGATATTTGAGATCAGTTCTGTCGCGTTCATGTCCCCCTTTTTCTAGCCTCATAACTCTAATTTCAAAGCAATCGGATGATCCACTGCAGTCGTAATCATTGCGGCTTACGCGAAGCACGGATTTATCTTTTTTTTTCTGTTACTTAGAGCTACCGTATTCTTTTTAAGAATATTAGAGAAATATGAATCAGACAGGATTCCATCGTCTGTGAGATGTTTTGCGGTATGTGCCTTTGTCATGCTATATTCTTATGTGAATGAATGACTCAGTTACGAGATGAGGTACGGAAGAGAGCAAAACGAACACGCAATTAAAGGTGAGCGCCACGAAAACTTAGACGTTAACAGTAAGTGGAATTATAAATTGTGGAGCAGCAGTTTTGGTGTTACTAACTCTCTCTTTCTCTCTCTCTCTCTCTCTCTCTCCTTTTGTGTGTGTGTGTGCGCGCGCGCGCGTGTGCATCGTTACGATATTGCAAAGCTTGCCAAAAGATCTACATTTCTCATTAGATTCACATTGGTTAGGCATTTTGTAGCATTTCATTGACATGTCACAGTTTCTTTTTATCAAAATGTTCACAATGTGAATTGTTGACAGCATGTTGTTTTTTGTAGAAGATGACGGTATGTTAGCTATAGATAAAACCGCACGTACAAATCAATACAAGGACAAACGAAGCAAATACAACACACGTTTTTAGGGCAGACAAATTACACTACCAGGGGAACAGAGGGCATCTTTTACTCCCCTCTCTCTTTCATATTGTAGCTAATTCGATATCGGTATACGTGTGTATTAAATAGCAGCTGATTCTGAAAAAATACTGTAACAAAAAATGAATACATCCATAAATATACTAGTGACACAGCGTTTTGGAATAAAGCTGGAAGAAAACAACAGTCATCTTGGCAAAACGCCTACGACTTTCAAAAGAAAATATTATTATGATACTAGCGATTCAGTTGACATACAATATATGAAACGTGCCAACGTGTGTGTTTTGTTAGTAAATGCAGCTGACAACCCAACCTAAAGATAGATAGATACTTGACAACAAAGAAAATACGCAATGAAAAACACACAACACATGTATATATATTTAATTTCTTTAAGTGACAACGCAGTGAGAAATTAATCATATATGCAGTTGGTATGGACTTGAGTTTATATGTAAAGTAGCTTATGCATCCATCTTTTTGTATCTGTTTCTTTATTTGGTTGCAATTTCATCCAAAGAAGGGTTTCTCCTTTATTATTCGGTAACTGAAGTTTTGCTCCCTAGACAAAAGAGCTGATATATAAACACCTTTTGCAGGTGTGTAAGAAGCTACTTTTATGCGTGGGCGCTAACCGTTTAGAAAAAAATTACAAAATTAATGAGATGCAAACTGTTTTTGAATGCTTTGTATTATACATGTGTATTTTAGTTATCATTGTTTATTTTGTTACAGGTTATGATCACTGTGAAATACATGTACTACTTAAAGGTATATACTATCCACGTTTGAAAATGTCCTAGAATAAAATCTTAAGCCTACGTAACCTACAAAACTGCTTATCTCACCCAATTCTGATCTAAAACGATAAAGACATCTCAAATCAAAATGCCTGATGTCGATATTTCTTTCTGTGATGTCCAGGAAAATATGGCAGTCCAAGTGAGTGGCAGGTGGCTTATAATATTTTTTTTAATCACAATGACAAAAGATATCGAATCCAATTGGTCGAGCTTTAACTTCGAGTAGAAAAATAATTTGGGAAAATTCGATTTGGTGGAAATTTTTAGAATAGGATTTGTTTTTAATATTTTTATTAGATTAAAATCTACTAGGTGTACCAAGACCCTTATGGTTTGTGCCGTTAGAACATTTGAAGTGTATTAGGTATGATGACTTGAAACTAATCTACCCAGTCTTTGTATGCTGCATGTGTCCTTTTCTTCATTCGTTAAGAAGAATTAGACAGATGGCAAGAAAAATGGCCCCTCTTAGTCAAAGAGTCATTGAAACAGAAACAATAAATCACGTTCTCGTGGTGCTCACTGACAGGACGGAGAAAACTGACCACCAGTCAACAATGGGAAAGTATCCTGTTGCCATGGTGACAGCAAACATTCCTTCTCCGACTTGATATAAAATTTGGATGTGCCTCAAGAGTGGCTAGATGCTTGTTCACTTTTTAGCCAAGAGTTTTATTTGATTTCAAAATTTCAATTTTTTTTCAAAAATAAACAATAGAAACCTCGTACTTATATGACGCTACCACTGACTGACGCACGCGGGCACGATAGCTAGCACGCACACAAACACACACACCCATTGATCAAACTCTTACGGACCTCTAGTGCCCTACTAATTCTACCATTCTGCAGATATTTAATACAGATCATTTGTTTTCCATTTTCATTTGAATCATCATTTTTCAAGTATCACTGTATTTTGCTTTTAATATAATAATCAACTTTAATTTTTTATTTATATACATGTATCTAATGCACGCAATTATTTAAATCCAGGGATCCTTACATCCATTTTTGTTATATACATGTATTTAACAAATAATCAAACCTGAAAGTCTTTTCTCCTGGAAGTGCATTTAAAACTCTCGCCATTAACCCTGGTGATGTCATGAAAAGTTCAACCGCGCTTGTTTTAATGTTTGTTTTTCTTTCTCGACGTGAAAGTCATTTCACCTGCGTTTTAAATTTTCGTGGGTCATTAAAATTTAAGTGGTTTTTCAGTTTTTCTGCAGTTTAATGACTTTTTTGTTTGTTACGAGTTGCGTATTTTTCCTTGGCACCGTCAGTCTGGAGATTCAATGGTTTGCGCTATATACACTACTGGTACATCGGTCGGTCCTGTCTCTTGGCGCTGCTAATCCGAGTATGGCTAGGAACTCCTCTTTAACTAATTTCCAATCCCTACATCAATCAAGAAACAATATCAATAATATCCACACCTTTCACAGATGTCCTGCATGATTTTATTGACACTGCTGAATCTATACTTTAGGTGATAAATTCTAACTGCCGAATTTTCAGATCAAAAGTTCAGCTCTGTTACATATTTCTTGTCTTATCTTTTGTACCTCTATTTGGACCTTATTCCTAACTATCATTAAGTAGACTTTTGAATTGACACCACGGTGAGACAATCACTCGTCTAAAAGTGAAATATAATATTTCTTACAAAAGTGACGCTTGAAGGTAGGAGCTAAGCTTCAGTTTATATCAACATTATCATAAGTGTTTTGTTTTTTCTCTCTCACTTCGTTGAGTCTGATGATCGAGCACTTCCACTGCAAGAGCGTCTTCTTACAGTACTATTTAACCTTGGACGAAACTTTAAAGCAGCCTTGACACAGTAAATTTAGCTAAGTATTACGTGACTCTTGCGTATAACACACAGCAATCATATGTTAACTGTCAGCATGTTTAAAACGTAATATAAGACACTCTTTCAAATGCCAAGATTATCAAGAAAAACCATTGATAAGATCCAACATCTACAATCATTCTATTTCACTGGAACACGCCATTTAACTTCGTACACACACCTTGAAACTAAGTTACAAACAATGACTAATAAATACTAAAGTTTCCATTCATTTTTTATGTTATTGCTCAACATACTGTTTGTTATTTTGAAACTTAATCCTTATTTAGAAACATCGGTGTAAAAATGTGTTTAGTATTGTAGGGCGTACATTATAAAGCTCTAAATGTAATAGTTCACGGTTACGAATGGGAAGCAGGCATTTCGTCGACCAGCTTCATTTTAAATCATTTAATCTATTCAGTTGCAAACACGGTTTAGATTGGAAGATATACACTGTAAGTCATGAACGTATACTTCGAAAGAACATTTTTTCTTTCTGTACGGACCTTCAGTGTCCGTTACCGTACCTTTTCTCTTTTTGATGGATGGATGGACAAACTGTACTGTGTCGCTTTCAAACACTCGCCATGCGAGAACAACACCTTTTTTTCAATATGGCCGCCAACAAAACGACTGCAAACCTGCATTCAGTCCACGTAGCCTTACCTGTTCATAGCTCAGTATCTGTTTCTTATTTTGTAGATCAATGAAGTGAAATAGCAGTGCCGTAGACCACGAGAAATGGGGGGTGACACGCGGGCGGTGTCTCTGTGGGCTTTTGTCCTGGGCTCTGTCCTCTCTGGTCTGGGAGTCATCATGGCCGTCACATTCCTCATCTTTAATATAAAGTTCAGAAATATGAGGTGAGTTGTGTTCGAAGCATTCCACAAACCATGCTGGTTTGAGGTCGTTTGTTAATAAAAAGACTCTATTTCCCTGACAGTCTTATCTTCTCGTAATCTCTGCGTCTTTTAAAGCAAGCTTCAACGGTTTTGTTTTTTAAAGTTCTCTCCAATCTAATCTCGTAGAGGGTAATATGTTTAAAGGGATAATAACTCTTCGTTTCGGCCAAAAAATGAATTTTCCTGGAGTAAACAACAATTTTCCCACACTTACCAATGGTTAATGAATCCATTTTTACATTCAAAGTTAGTCCCTGTTTTTTTCTAAAAGGTTTGGTTTTTTGTTAAAATCTCTTAAGAGATTTTAACAGAGTACAGCCATCAATGGAGGTCACGTGGTCTAAAGACAAGCTCAAAAATCAGAATAATAGCTATAACTGCCGTTTTTGTGGTAAAACAGAATATATTATATTTCTTTGAGTTGTTCACAATGTTTTTATTGTGAAATATAAATCTCATACAAAGAGTTATTATCCCTTTAATGTTATTTAAACTCATTATCGATGCCATGTCACTTTTCGCCTTACAGGATAGTCAAGATGTCGAGCCCCAATATCAACATGTTGATCACTGTGGCCGGGTTATTTCTGTACACATGTTGCGTACTGTACGGTCTAGATCATTTCACCGTGGATAAACCTGGACAGGCCACCGTCTTATGTCAGGTGAGTTTTAGTCAGCAGTGTTCACATCGAGTCTATCTTACACTTGTCCAATGATACGTTTTGTGCTTTAAGGGGACAGCTAACTTGTACCTCGGTTTACAAGTCTAATTTTGCGATCTAACAAAACAATCGTTAAAGCTAAGGTTGACTTTCTATCATGTACAGAAGTCATCGAGTTTCATATTTCTGATGAAAGGAATGAAGGAGAAACGACCACAGAAATGGGGAAGACGGGCTTTGGTGTGAAATAACCCGTGACGATTCTTCCTTTGAAGACGGTGATTAGTTTTGTTGTTATGTCAGCTCTTCAATTTTCCGATTTCATTATGGTGACGTGACCCACCTCCGCACCCGCACAATGCGTTTTTACAGGGGTAGGTGATGGCCGCTCGCGGTCAGCTGCCATTTGATACCCTTTGGAACAATACGCCGTTGATTGCACTTTGACCGTTATTCAGATAATTGAAGGCATACAAGTTTTAATCTGAAACGCCTGCAAGAGGGTGGGTATAGGGGTTAGTGGTGGATAGCCAACCTATTTTAAGCAGAATCTCCCCCATAGATTTTATTTCTTAAATCTTGTTTGGACTGAGGTCCAGAGCTCTGTCTGCCGCATGTTGGATTGAATACATTGATGTAATTTTGTCACTAATAAAAACAGCGTAGACATGAGAAATGAAAAAAAAACGTCGTCGACTTACCGCAGTCTGGACCCAGTTGCGCCAACGGAGTGGGGGGGGGGGGGTATTGAAAGCGTAGTATCTACGCCCGATTTACGCCAGAGGAAATAAGCCAGTTGATCCATACTGGAGTAGCGTTGGCGTTAGACTTACTTTAGTCGTAAATACACTGCTGTTGGTGGGTGGTGAATGTCTGTTGTAGCTTGTTGACGCAAATTGGACCGATTGCATGTTGCAGTAATCATGTCTGAACAGGTACTTTAGAAATGTTCTGGGATTATTTTCAGGTTCGCACTTGGATTTTCAGTCTCAGCTTTACCATCATGTTTGCCGCCATGTGCATGAAGTCCTGGCGGGTGCACAAAATATTCAAGATGGCGACAGTTAAGAGATTAGTAAGTTATACAAGGCAATTGATGTTTAGTAAAAATTAGCTTTCCCCACAAGCGCTAACTTTATTATTTGGATGCGATATTAAAATCCTGCTAAGACGCCAACATTTCGTTACAGAACGATAAGTGTCACTCGCATACTGTACAAAGACGACTAGATTGACTAAGGCCTACCAAGAACCCAAGTGAATATTCTAAGGCTATTTGTTAGGATCGGCAGCGCTGACTAGGAAGCTCTANTTTATAAGATGTGACTTTTAACTCCCATCCACCTGAGGCTCTGCACATTTTCAGTATTTCCACATAAGCAGTTATATTGGTATTTATGTCTTTAAACACACTGTAATATTATTTTATGCACTGTCATCATTTTTCATATATTGGGACTTTCATCATGTGAATTTTAACTCTCATGGTCTTGAAACTGTAATCTTATTGAAGGGGTGGATTGAGACCATCTTCCGGGTCTCCTGGAAGACAGTCAGACTTTAAAGTTTATATTAACGGGCTTCTGTTGGAAGACCATCAAAATGGAGGATGGATCAACAAAGATACCTTGGAATACTGTCAGAAAATATCTCTTGATCTGCTCCTGTTATTGACCATTTTACCTGTTGTGCATGATTAAAAATCAGTGTTGACTGACTGTGCTATTATAAGCATTATTTATTATTGCATCAAAATTGACAAAATGACCTATTTTGCATCTTTTTTTTTCTGTTTTTTTGTCTGTACATTTGACAGCTTTGCTGCCTTGTTCTTTCTTTGAGTTTGTTCGCGATATCGTCTGTTTCGTTGGTTCTGCCCGTCTGTGTTACTGTACATCTACACCTGTACCTTCATTTGAGCATAGATAACAATATCAACACCTCCTTCTTCAGACTCCACCGGATGCCCTAGAAATCCGTTACGACAACGTCACGGTGATGATCTGTTCGTCCAGGTATTTCCCGGTGTGGATAGCATGTATCTACATCTACAAAGGCCTCATCTTGCTGTACGGCACATATTTGTCTTGGACGATCCGGCACGTCACTCTGCCCGCCATGAATGACGCCCGATATATCATCCTCAGCACCTACACCGTGGTGGTCTGCGGGGGTGCAGCCACGAGCTTGGCGGCCATCTTGGACCAATGGCCAGACGCAGTATACTTGAGCATCATTGGAGGCGTGTTCATCTCCACAACTGCGACGCTGTGCGTTGTTTTTGTGCCCAAGGTAGGTAGACTTACCGCCATCAGAAAAGCAGTACCTCAGTTCACACATTATGGAACAACATGTACTAGTTAGTACTCAGTACATGTACCCCAGTAGCAGCATCTATATATCTTAAAATGTAACACAGCACATCCCTTACGAAAATTCCGTATATAGAACTCTAGTAATTCTATCGGACGTCTTATAAGATCTAGGACATATGCTTTATGGGACCCTATAGAAAATATCCGTAGGAGAAGTGTATGTTTTTTCATAGTTCAAATGTTTTAACATTATTACAAATTTAGAAAACGGTTTCAGATTATTCTGTTGAGGAGGAAATCGCAGGAAGACATGATGAAGGTCTCCATGTCCTCGCAAATGATGAACTCGGGCAACCAGTCCTTTGAGCAGATCGAGGAAGACATGTACCATTTGGTTGCCGAAAATCGGACGTTGAAGAAATCGTTAACAGAAGTATGTTTTTAATCAGTTTTTTAAATAATATATTTGTTTATATGCAATACTAGTCGGCATCATCTAATCATTTATGATAATACATCTTTGATAAACGTATTTGTATGTAAAATATATGAGTTTGTACTGGGTATAGCCCTAAATTTTAGCCTTATAAAATTCATGTGTGTATTAATCAACTTAAGCTTTTATATAATATAACTTCTGTATCTTTATAGAAAGAATCTACGATAAAAGAGCTGGAAAATCACGTTCACAACGCAAAGAGCAAATTACTGAAAATGATGGATCCAGAGGGCAGACAAGACAGTGGCCTTGACATTGACTTATCAACGTCAAGTCTCGAGAATGAGAACGAGAAACCAGGAGACTGTAAAGGAAAAGAGGCAAAAGAAAGTGAATATGCCAGTCGCGTGAATTCACTCTACCACCAGAGCAGACCTACGCCTGCCGTATGGAATATGAAATACAGTGGTAGAGGCAGTCGGCGGTCTTCGGTAAAAAGCGTGGAAAGTTACGCTAATATAACCAGACTCAGGGATTCCATAGCGCTGGACTTGAATGTTGTACAAAATTTAAGCTCTACTTTGAGGGAATCAATATCTAACGACTTGTCCCCAAGGAGGCAGTGTACAACTCATTACTATGACAACGTGAGAACGAGGCAAGATCTCGCAAGCGCGATAGCAGGAAGTTATGATCTAGCAGACGATTCTGACACCTATTCTTACGTCAGCAATCACCTTGGTTACAGCTCAGACGGTAGCGCCGTTGGATATCCTCGACGAACGAACGGATACATTCCACGACTTGAAAAGTCCGCCTCTATGGAGAGCGTGTCAACATTAGACAATGACAAATATTACCCGTCCGTCCCAAGTCAGAGTTCAAGGTCGACGAAAAAGAAGCGAAAAAAGCGATTTGGACACTGGAAACGTGAGCCAAGACCCAAAGTATACACAGTTCAAGACGCTCAGGAACCGAACGTTGTCCAAAGCAACGTGGCAGTGACAAGAAACTTGAATAAAACTGTGGTGTACGATACTTTTGTATGATGAAATTGTGCCTTATTATACAATCTAAGTCATACAATATAATACACCGCTCTACATTGTAATAGTGCCGTTCATTTCATCAGAACCGTCAACGGATCGTGTCTGCGTGAAAGAGCTGTCACTCCGGCTAGTGTTTGGACAAAAAAAGCTCACCAGTGCTCACACTCAGAGCAATTCTGGTTCAAGGACACATTTTGTGATGAATGTTTGACAGTGTGTGTCTATTGCCACTCGTACCTGATGATCTTTCATCAGTCGGCAAAAAGCTGCTATCCCAGAGGATAGGCCGCTGTGACATGGTGACTAGTTTATACATAGCGCCCAACCACACGATTCCAACCTATAAACGGGTAATATCGACCTGATGCGGGAACGGGACATTATTTTATACAGTTCATGTTTATGAACACGCAGCATAATACACACGGAAGCCCTCAGGTGCATCTAATGATGTATGACAATGACGATGTTACAGTTGCACCTTGACGCAACTACCACATTTTCAATTATGTCCGTGTGCCTTTGATAAAGCGACCACATATTGTGACATTGACTCAGCTATCCTTGCCATTTCCTATTTTTTTTAATGGACAACTTTTACACGTTGTAAATGAGTTTTTATATTGTGTATTTACATGCACTGTGACGATGTGGTTGTGGAATAGATATCAATCATTCCGCATGTAATGATTTAATTTGCAAGGCAAGTTTGTTTCTACACTTATGAACTTTATATATTAGATCGTTTAAATTAGGAAGGTGCATGTGATAATCAATAACAGTGCAGACGGAGTATAAAGAATTACACAAAGTCCGTTATGATCTGACAAAATGAATGAATTATAAGTGCTAAAGGCCCATTTTACTTTCCGTCCTTAAGGCATTAACATCCATGTAAATTTGGAAATGTCACCTTGTCCTTGTGTCACCTTGTGCGCAACGGAACATTCACGGGATGTGTCAGAATGATAACCTCGTCCACAATAACCTGCATTAATGGACATTCGAATCTAGCCGCTCAGATTCCATTGATTTAGTATTAAAAAAATGAGTATTTAACTTTCGTTATGTGAATAATTTTACAATATGTGTCTTGTCAATGCAGTGGCGGATCCAGGGGGGTCCAGTTTTTAGGAATCACAGGCCACGGATGCAAAGCCGACCCCCTCTCCCCCCCACCCCCCCCCCACCCCCTTTGGCGTGGGGTTCCGAGCCCCTAAAATTTTTTTTTTGATATTTTACAGGGCGAACGGTGCCATTTGGTACGGTTTAGAACTATGATTCGTCTAGTCAAAGTTCTAATTTCAAGAGGGAACTATTTAGTGATTTATTTTCAAAAATCGAAGGGGGGAGGTCAGGACCCCCCTGACACCCCCCCCCCTAAATCCGCCACTGCAATGCATATCCTATGCACAGAAATGCTCAAAATGCACCCTGGTCATGCCAGCTGTATTATGAAATTAATATTTGTGATATCTGTTTGTAATATCGAGTAATAAAGGAATATGACGTGCTTCGCCAATCTCTTTAATTTGAATGTCGACGCGGTGGCTTTGTATACGCGACATCCCCGAGTGTGTACATTGGTTTTGTATGTTAATGTCTTTTAAACGTTTGAAACCCAAGGCACGTTTATAGCCTGGGTATCCGAGCCAAGTGAAGGTAGAATTTTAAGGACTCTTCATGATTAGTTGCTATGGTGACATCTATAGTGGATGAGCAAATACTTGAAACAAATGCCTGCCGTTAAAATAAATCAATATTTACGAAGCGGGTAAAATCGATTAAAAAAATCAAAACTCTTTCGCATTCTCAACAGAAGGGCTTCGAAGTTCACTTAGAGAAAGTTTGCAGTTAATGGATTTTAGCCCCTGTTTGTTTACATATTTTTTGCACGACAGTAAAAGTTGAAAGGTCAGGTTAGGTACATTTCACGTTATTTTTAGATTCACTTACATGCAAAACGACGTCTTTTCAGTCTTCTGAAGCTGTTACAAAAGTAGATAAATAGACTTCCTTCTTCCAATATTGTAACAGCAAGAAAAGACAGAGAAGATCCCTGGTGGAGGATAAATTAAAAAAAAGACAGTCTGAAAAAGCTGCCTAAACGACGAACTGATCAAGACATCTAAGCACAATCGCTCACATGTTTTGGGTTGTTTTGGCTAGCTAATTCCAATATGAAAAGATTAGTACAATGGTTGAACAAAATTAGACATTGCATATCCTGCAAGGCATTTCTGACGCTTGTCCAGTGCGACAAAACCGGTCAGAGATTTGTGAATCTGTGGACATAAAACGGATTGAGCAAAATCCGCTGTCATGAAACTCATTTGGCAAGTCAACAAATCGAACAATAATTAATTCTGCTTTGACAATAAAATCCCGCTGTGCCAAAATCTATATATTGACAGAGACCACGTCAGCCCTCGAGGTGTGTTAATAATAAATAAGGCAGGTAAATAGCAGTGAATCGGACGAGTTTTTCACCTTGAGTTTTATAAAGCAAACGTCACTATGCCCTCACCTATTGTGAATTTTTTTATTCAAGATAGTTTACTATTGTGCGTGTACAAATATCAAAAGCTTTGGATTTCATTATAAAAGTGAAGGTTTTTAAAAGCCATCCATTATTTCTCCAGGGCGTTAAATGAGACCAGATTTTGGTTAAGAGCTAGAACTGAGACTGTGACCTTTAACAGCAAGGATCTCACAACAACTCGACGTCCTCAATTTCAGTGGAGCAAGTCAACATTAGAATGAGTACCCGTACAATGTACAAGCTAACACTTCTTACCTGTTCGGGTATGACAAATGCACCTTTAGAAAAACTCGCACAAAGAGCTTCAAAGGCGTATATAATAAATTTTACTGTCAAAGGGCAGGCCTTTTTATTATAGAAGCAATTGTTTGGTGTGGTATTTGAGTCCCTCTCCTCCAAAACAGCGACAGGAAAGGCAATGCGTTGGTGTGTACCTTAATACACCTGTCTTTGCAGCGACAAGGATGCCTGGACAGCTGGGTGTTTAGTTAGTGGTTACATGTGTACACATATGTGCACGCTCCTTGCTTTCTTACAGCAGCAGCCTCTTGGTTCATTTCTACTCTTGTGTATGAAATGCTGTTAATGTTTTGTAGAGCAATGGTATTTTTGTTGCGTTAAATTTGACCTACATTGTTATAACTTAGGTCAATGACACTATAATTTCGCTGTCGTTTCTTCCCACCTTTTAACAACAGAGCCTGCACTTTGGTCAGTTAATAATTTCACTAAAGCCTAGATTACATTGTAGGCTGATCCTAAAGATTATTTCTGTCGTTTTCTAAAACTGCTATTGTTAAGTTCATTTCGATTTTTTTTAGCGTTTTATGGACAAAAACGCCACACCGACAAATGTCAATTTTAATGTCTGGACAAAAAGATAACCTAGACGCGACGAACCCGGCCATTTGTTATCCTTGCACCTTTGCCAAAAATAACGATAATAAACCGTAATATAATTACAGTGCCCTCCTGCCCTTTGGTCAAACCATGGTTTCTACGGAGATATTACGTCACAAGGAAATACAATAACAATCAAATGGTGACAGCGTTTCTAGGGCTGCATGGTCAATATGTTCAGGGGTCAACAAGGTCACTTGAGTTACGGCCTCGATAGTTCTCAAGCGGAAACGATACACACATGATTTAGCGTCGACCCCATGTCCCTTGAAACGACACTCTGGATGAGCTACTTGACCTGCAGAACTTACCAGCTTCATACAGTGTTTAAAGTGTGGTCTTTTTCTTCCGTGGTAGCCACTTTCAAGCCTGCCTGGCTATTATAGGGCTGTGGGAAGTATGGGTTGTGGGGGGGGGGGGGGGGGGGGGACTGAACCGCCCTTTTAGCTCAGAAAAGAGTCTTCTAATGACTGAAATTTATTGTAGGTGTTTTATGGATACTTACAATAAATTTCAGTCATGAGAAGACTCACCTCTGAGCTAAAAGGGCGGTTCAGTAGGTTATGGCAAAAAGGTTATGGTTTTCTCTCAGAATACACCCCTGTTTTAATAACAAATATAAGATACAAAAACTGACTTTTAGATAAGCAGCCATTATATCATCTGCATCCATTATATATATATATAGCTTTCCTTATGTTATAAAGTGATGTACAGGTAACCTGAGCAATAGCACGGCTGGGACATGGGAACCTTTCTTCCGTGTCTTCAGATGTATGTACTTACTGATTTTATTCAATAATATGTGTTCGTATTGAATTCAAGCCAGTTTAATGTATGTCATTTACTGCACTCGGTTATTTAAAAAAGTGATTATTAAATTGGTGGCTGGACAGGTAACACGAAAATGGAACAACGAATAAGCGTGTTTCTGTAATTCATTCTTTGAAAATACAGTCGTGAAAAGGTGCAATAATTTATAGCAAGTCTTTTAGCATGCTACATGCTGTACAGTATGAGGCCAGGCGTTGAGAAGTGCCTTTTTCACTATGTATTCTGACACCAATTTCACGTGTAGTAAGTATACTTTTATTAGAGGATTCCACTGTACAATCTCGTAGCAAATGTATGTTGATTAACACTTTATTGTACTCGATACTCCTTTCAATCTGTTAAAGACAATCAAACACAGTGCAGTCTTAGTATATTTGCTGTACGCATCGATCTGTTCACTTTTTTACGTAATCAGGTGTCTCGGGATCATTTAATGAAGTATGCGCGGCGCTGGGGTGCATACGGTCTGAACAAACGACATTTTAATGGTCAAGTCGTCCACTGTCAAAGGGCACTATATTGTTGTTGTTGTATATAGCAACTACAACTCGCCAATAGTATTGATTTCTTTTCTTTCTTCGACCAGTGGTCTGTGCGTTGGTAATTCGAGTGAAGTCAAGCTGAAGAAAATTGACTCGGGGTCATAGTGACATTAATAAGTGGATTTTAGAACTTGCCGTTATTATAACCACTGGTCAAACCCACACCGTAGCCGAGGTAACTGTGACACAACAACAACAAAACACCGTCCAGTTGAATGATTTTAAGAGAATGTGTCCAGAAAATGAATGGGAATTGGCCTATTATTTCATAATACTGTTGCTTTAAGAGCATACGCACTGCCTTGGAAAGAAAATGGTGGTCGATCCCAAAGTAGGCCTTGATGGCGTATCACGGCAACGAGCAAAGAAAGTGGTAGATCACTAATCCAAATCCAATTCCATATAACATTGACAAAGTTTCTGAAATGAAGAGAGAACGAGAACAAGCATGCCCAAGCAAGATATCTTATCCGAGATTGTTCAACCAAATACTTTTTTTTCTTTTAAAATGCAATTTTTCTTCAACTCAAGATTCATTGCTCGTCCTGCTTTAAGAGCCGAGGTTTTATATTATTTTGATTAACATAACTTAGCTCTAAATGTTTAGCGTAACGTTAACCGCTACTATATATCTACCTACCTGTACATTTCAGATATCGACAGCAGGTAGTCTTATTTGGAAGATTGTATAGCTTTTACTGTCCGAATTGGTAATGATAAGAAGCAAAGTAGGATGTGTAGACACAAAAAATCTAAATTTGGGTCAGTTCCTCGTATACCCTTAAAATCTAATTTATTATTAACGGCGTCCAATCGCTTTCGGGAATTTTGATGTAAAGTTGTGATAAAAATTGCCCAAAATATACTGTCTTTTATTTAAATACCATTAATTAAATCAATATATTTAAAAACTTTAAGTTGAATTCCACTTTTTTCATTAAAACATTTTAACGATTGGACTTTGTCGCTAATTTGATAATGGAATTCTGTTATGGCGACAGATCACGGAGAATATTGATCCCGTATCTAAGACTGGACTTGGAACTTAAATGTAGTTTTTCGCAGGGGGTGTCACAGGTATTACCTAATGCTTGTCGTAGCAACAGAGAGCCAAATGAAGGGGTGCTCAAAAGTTCATTCACATTGGACAATTCAAATTTTGAATCTTGTTTAGGCAAAAACAGTAAGACATTAAATGAAAAAAAAAATAAAAACTGAACAATCAGATGCCACGCAAAATAAATTACTGAAGGAAAAAAGGCGATGTTCGAAAGAAACAGACGACCCCGGTACTTTGGAGAACGCTACCAGCGCATGCGTGATAAGCCCCCCATTGATCGCACCTATGCGCATATAATCGAGTACACACCGGTAGAGTGGACACAGAAACTTGAAGGTAAGTGGATATCTCGTGGTGAAGAGTAATATGTAAATAATCAGAACTTCCTAGTAGCTCTGCCGTTTGTGTAGTTCAAATAGATTAAAAGGCTTACACTTTTTGTCAATAGATTAATGATGTGTCAGGTAAGTCAAATTAGGAGATTAGGATACTATGATTATTTTCAAGAATATTTATTTATTTCATTAATCCACTTGACTCACCGATACCAAATTTCGTATTTTATCACCTTGTTAAAAGATGCGAGTTAATTTACAAAGTTTATTTACTGTGAGTCATTATGAATATCCATAGCTACCATTTAGCTTGTTGATGTTTAGTTCAAATACCTCATTATCAGTTAGAAAATGTAACTTCCGAGCGTTTAGAATTTTATGACGAGAACCGTTTTTGTGTAAGAAGAGAACAAAACAAAGTCAGTGAGATTTTGATATTAAAAAATTACGTTTACAACTTTTAAGTTTTACCGGTAGTTTTTTTTTCACCATGCACTGTTATAGAATATTAAGCGTTGATGTGAATTAGGGTGTTGGCCATTCCAAGACGCCTTTTAATATAATAGATTTAAAATGGTCGGATTCATATTAGTGTGATAGTCAATTTAAATGTAATTTATGAATTAATTAATAAGATAATTTATTTGTTTATCCATATTTATATTAATCATTTATCAACATACTACTGTATGTGAATAGGTATTGTAATACATGAAATACTCTAGAGACGACTTTGCATAATACGACATGTCAAATATTTTGGATAAATTCTGTTTTTGTCGGGAGATGAAGTCTTTCAAACATCATATTCCTCTAAAGTAAGCACGGAAAGTTGGAAAGGTTAATTCACTCCTCACATACACTTGGGAAGACAGATTGCAAAAAAATTGTCCTCACTTTTCGTGTTTGAAAAATGATTGCTTTGCTCCTGCTATTCGCGTCACAAGCGGGCCCTGCTCTATTGTTTATTTGTTAGTAACAGTAAAAGAAGTGTTGTTCTCTTGTCTATTATTTGTCGTTTGTGCGAGCCCTTGGTTACGATGGCAAGTATTTCTCCCTCAGTGAACTTGTTAAATGGCGATACACGTAACTGCATAATGACCAATAGGAAAGTACGCCAAACTTGACAGGAGTGGTCATCGATTAGCGAGCAGGGCGTATAATAGGGCATTAAGGTTTCTATTAAGAATTCAGTATAAAGCACTGACCATGCAATCGCGCAGAAAATACGTGATTTGTGAACTTATGTGTACGTGTAACTGCATTGTTATCATAGGGAATATTGGCAATAGGGAAATCAATGATGAGAAAAAAACAACGTTATATCACTGGCTTTAAAAAGTAAAACAAACGCTACTCCATTATACAAACATGAGCATATTACTTACAACGTTTCTTTAATTATTTTTTTTTCATATTATAAACCGTAAAGTTATTTTAGGCAGGGGAGGATTGAGGCCGTCTTCTGGGTCTTCCAAAAGACGGTCAGGGTTTTTTCATCTTCACATTGACGCGTATCTAATTTTTTTTCTGTCGGAAGACGGTCAAAAAAGGAGGATGGATCAACAAAGATAATTTGGAAGATTGTCAGAAAATATCTCTGGATCCGCCCCTGTTAGGCCTACTTTTATCAGGGATATTGCTTGTCTGTATCGGTCACGATGTTATATTTATCAATTAAATGTATCTGAACAGTTGTTTACTGTCTATTTACTTTTACAGAGGACAAGACGTACTAGCAGAAATAAAGATGGAAAACCCAAACGCACCACCCACTTATGACANTGCATAATGACCAATAGGAAAGTACGCCAAACTTGACAGGAGTGGTCATCGATTAGCGAGCAGGGCGTATAATAGGGCATTAAGGTTTCTATTAGGAATTCAGTATTAAGCACTGACCATGCAATCGCGCAGAAAATACGTGATTTGTGAACTTATGTGTACGTGTAACTGCATTGTTATCATAGGGAATATTGGCAATAGGGAAATCAATGATGAGAAAAAAACAACGTTATATCACTGGCTTTAAAAAGTAAAACAAACGCTACTCCATTATACAAACATGAGCATATTACTTACAACGTTTCTTTAATTATTTTTTTTCATATTATAAACCGTAAAGTTATTTTAGGCAGGGGAGGATTGAGGCCGTCTTCTGGGTCTTCCAAAAGACGGTCAGGGTTTTTTCATCTTCACATTGACGCGTATCTAATTTTTTTTCTGTCGGAAGACGGTCAAAAAAGGAGGATGGATCAACAAAGATAATTTGGAAGATTGTCAGAAAATATCTCTGGATCTGCCCCTGTTAGGCCTACTTTTATCAGGGATATTGCTTGTCTGTATCGGTCACGATGTTATATTTATCAATTAAATGTATCTGAACAGTTGTTTACTGTCTATTTACTTTTACAGAGGACAAGACGTACTAGCAGAAATAAAGATGGAAAACCCAAACGCACCACCCACTTATGACACCCAACCTGGATATGTTGGCGTTGGAGGGTAAATTTTTACTTATTTATTTATTTATAAATCTGTTTTTTCTGTTCCCTTTAAAAGGATGGATAAAGACGCCGTTTGTTCGATTTCAGTTAATTTCTGGATGCTTGGAACTGTAACCAAAATGTAACAGCTGTCGAAAACACTCGACGATACAAACCTTGTCAATATAAAAATACCATTTTGATTGAAAACAAATAATATAATGCTTATACTGGTACACTGATCACGGCCAATTCATAACAAGATTTGATGTATATTTCCCCTTGTGTTAACAGGACCCAGCAGACGATGGTGATGACTGCCCCTGCAGGTGGTACTGTGATCATAAACCAGGCCGCTGAGTCTCGACCGTCCAGTTACCTGGGCTTCTCCATCTTTGTCATGTTGTGCTGCAACTTATTATTCGGAATCATTGCTCTTATTTTCTCGGGTAAGACACGTTGCCCATTTATTTATTTATTTATTTATTTATTTATTCTATTTTATTTATATTTGATGGTTTTTTAATTAATTAATTTTTTACTTACGTAGTAAGAAATAGTACTACTATTATTACTGCTTCGCTGTTACTTATTGTAATAATGAAAATTTAAAGAACAATAAGGTAGGGGGAAGGGGGGATTCAATTATTGGTGAAATTTTTAAAAATTCTTGTTGCATGTGCATTCTTATTCAAAATTTTTCGGTTTTAGTACTAAATTGATATGACGTTTTTTTTTTTTACTAGTTATGTCAAGCAGCGCTGCAGACGATAACGACTTCGCCTCGGCGAGGACCAAGGGCAAGGTCGCCCTCGGTCTGAACATTACGGGCATGCTTGTGACTGTTCTCATTGTCGTCGTGGTCGTGGCTCTCGTTGTTTCCAACCCATTGCTGCTGTTGATGGGATGAGCCCATTCAAACTTACCGGGAAAAAAGAAAAAAGACAATATATTTAAAAAAGACTTTGACCCCATTCCCATAGATTTTAGATCAACCTATCCCTGTGGGGAGTCTCACTAGATTACTGTCAGCTTAGCCGGCTTAAGCGTCTGTCCCGCCTACTAAAAGCTGTAAGGGGGTAATTAACTATGGTGCGCGCTCGGCTGACTGCAATTTAGCGTGAACCCCCATGGAGTTAGGTAGATCTAAATCTAAATCTCTGGAACGATCTAAATCTCTGGGAATGCACCCTTTAAAAGCAGCTCAATGAGAAATTCACTGTGATATTGGACAGCTGTGGAATTCGCTTCTGTTTTTTTTTTTTTTTTTTTTTTTTTTTTTTTTTTTTTTTTTTTTTTTTTTTTTTTTTGTTGGAAAACAAGAGTAAGAGAAAAATGCATTTAAGGCAAAGTATTCAATATTGGCGAATTTACCTCTTCGGCTGGACCGTACTGTGATATCCATTCGCTCTGGAATTTACTGGCCAGTACAAAAGAAACTATCCAATCATAAGCATTGAATATACAGAACTACGGATTCCATTTCTGGCAATGTCAAATGATAACCCAATAGCCGGCGGAGCTTACGTAACATTATCCATGAGATTCTGGCAGAAATTCTGAGCAACTGCTTTTACGAATAAAACACATCGTAAGAACGACATGGATAGTTGCAGCCTGGACCCCGGTGATATATATATATTTATATATATATACATATATATAGTTGGCTCAAAAGACGTATATTGAATCAAATAGGATTGATTAATGAACGCGTCTAATGTAATAAGTATTTAATATTTGGCATTGGCGCAGCCGCTACATAGTTATTTCTAAAGTAAAGGTTCTTAATTAAAGTAACTGAAAAAGTCATGTTTATTTGAAGAGAGATTTTCGTCCAAGTTCGAATTCACAAAATTGTTTCATACTTCATTCTAAATAAATCACCGCCACCATATGTTTTTACATCGATATTTGTTGTTAGTGTTATTTGGATAGGAAGTCAGTATACCTATTGAACTATTCAAAGTTCTCTCCTTCTTTGTCTTTTTATTTTATTTTTTCAATTTGAAAAAAGTGTTAGGTAAAGAAAGTCAGTAACCCCTGTCTGAACGTATTGTTTTCTGGACTGAGGAAAGTCAGAGCGTTCAAAGACGCGTCGTCGTTTAGAGTTAAGGGCTGTGTTCGAAGAATTACATGCGTAATTTCACNTATATATATATATATATATATATATATATATATATATATATATATATATATAGTTGGCTCAAAAGACGTATATTGAATCAAATAGGATTGATTAATGAACGCGTCTAATGTAATAAGTATTTAATATTTGGCATTGGCGCAGCCGCTACATACACACACTGGACAAAAGAAGTGTCACCCCTACTGACCCAATACTATGGGGGAGATAAATGGCTGTGGAATGATATGCTCCTAGTATCATTTTATTAACATCAAATTTCACAAAAAATCACAAAATGAGAACAAAATATACATTCTACCAAAATATGCAGTTTCAAGTCCAAAATTAGTACTTAGTGGCATAGCCACGTGACCTAATAATAGGTGCCAGTCCTCGAAGCAAGGTTTCATATAATTGTCTGATGCGTTCAGGGCTTATGCTGGCCCAAGCATGAAACACTGAATATAACAGAGTTTCTCTGCTGGTTAGACGGGCATTTGTCAAAAGTTTTGACATATCATTCCACACATTTTCTATTATGTTTGCATCCGGACTCTGGGCAGGCCACATCTCCCTGCGAATGTCCTGTTGGTCAAACCAATCATCAACTGCTCTGGGCCTGTGACAAGGAGCATTGTCATCTTGGTGAAAAAATGGATAATTCCTGTCACCAAACATGTTAGTAATAGATGGTAGCAAGCCTGACTCCAAAACATCGATATATTTCTAGTGATTCATGTTTCTATTAACCACTATCAATGCGCCCAAGCCATGGATGCTGATGCAGCCCCACACCATGATGAATATGCTGCTCCGGGTTCGAAAATTCAGTGCATGTGGTTCAAATGCTTTACCAGCAGTTTGCCAGCATAGTACCCGTCTGTCATCAGAGGTCAGACCAAAGCGACACTCATCAGAAAAAATATATAGGACCAATTGTCATGAACTGTCCAGTTCCAGATCCTGTTGACCCTAGTTTACTCTACGTTGCCTGTTTTGTAACGATATAAGAGGTTTCAGTCTTGCTACCCTGCTGTACACTCTCTGAGCATGTAACCGACGCCTAGCAATTTTCACAGACACATTCTTATGTGTGAAATTGTTCCACTGTGTTGTCAACTGACAAGCAGTGTCGAACTTTGACAACCTAGACATCAAAATCAGTCGTCGGTCTTCACGGCCAGTATTTTTTCTTGGACGACCAATCAGAGGCAATTTGTATCTTGATCCAGTGTTTTTATACCGAGACCAGACCCTCTGCACGGTTCTGACTGAACAATTCAATTGTATCGCTATTCTGACATTGCTTATATTCCGCCTCTTCAGGTTAATAACTTGCACCTATAACCGTTAGATAATTGCCTGTATCTTGTCATATTGGAGGAAGACAGGAATAACATTTGCTGTACATGTACAAGACCAGCAATACAATTCCATGGTATAGCGGTTTTATACTCATTAGTCACATTATAAGTAGACCAAGCATTATAAGTACCCAAGATCTGCCTACTTTTATTACTCTGAGTTAGGGGGTGACACTTCTTTTGTCCAGTGTGTGTAGTTATTTCTAAAGTAAAGGTTCTTAATTAAAGTAACTGAAAAAGTCATGTTTATTTGAAGAGAGATTTTCGTCCAAGTTCGAATTCACAAAATTGTTTCATACTTCATTCTAAATAAATCACCGCCACCATATGTTTTTACATCGATATTTGTTGTTAGTGTTATTTGGATAGGAAGTCAGTATACATGTAGCTATTGAACTATTCAAAGTTCTCTCCTTCTTTGTCTTTTTATTTTATTTTTTCAATTTGAAAAACGTGTTAGGTAAAGAAAGTCAGTAACCCCTGTCTGAACGTATTGTTTTCTGGACTGAGGAAAGTCAGAGCGTTCAAAGACGCGTCGTCGTTTAGAGTTAAGGGCTGTGTTCGAAGAATTACATGCGTAATTTCACATAACATTGTGGCTAATTGTATTTATCACAATTTTGGCAAAAGCAATGCACTGCCCGGCTGAGTAAAATTATTTACATTACATTTCAAACAAGCGATCGTGTATAGATGTGCATATTAACGTGGGCATTTTATATTTTAACGTAAATATGATCAATTAAAATGTTTTTCCATGTTTATATGTGTGTGTGTGTGTGTGTGTGTGTGTGTGTGTAAAGCATATTCTGTATAATAGAACAACTGTGGACGGTTTTCGATTACATTTCTATCACTGAATTTCTTTGGAATAAATGTGTGCTAAACGATTACGGTGTAATTATCGTTGTGGGAGCATTGCATTAATGTGTCGAGAAAAAAATCAATTTGAGACTGAGAGAGAGAGAGAAAGAAAGTTTAAGATAAGGAGAAGTAAAAAAGGTAAAAAGCGAAAAAAATAGGGCGTGATACCACATATATATGTGCAGCTATTAATACGCGTCTCTCACTCTCTCTCTCTGTGGTAACATCTTAGAAGTATTGATTCGCCATTTTTGTTAACCTAAGATCAATACCAGGTCTACTGTGCCTCGGCCGCTTTACATAGCCACTGGGTCCTCAGTGAATAGTTCTCTTTTTGAAAGATAAAATTTGCTTTTGATTCACAAATTTCGCCCTTTAAATAGACTCGTGTTCACGGTGAACACGCTATTCTTGCCCGTTGTAGCATGGACAATAACAATGCGTGCACTTTTTAGTCTTATTTACCTTTCTATTGTCTGTTGCCATGGGGACTTCATAAACTAAACCAAAGAAACGGGACGGACCTAATTCTTTCACCTGAAGGTTGACGTTTGTTTTGAAGCGCAGGGAAGGGAGAAGCATATTTGAACTGAAAACTGTAAGTTTTTTCTAAGAATCTGTTGATCTGAAATACACCCATCCTAAAGCAAAGGATGTATATAAGAAAATGGGCACTTCTTTGGAATATTTTGCGGGCTGCGTATTCAAATTCATGAGATTTTTGGGTGTGAGGCATAAATAACTGTGGGACCTACTGGCGGACGGTAAGTTACCCCTTTTTGTCTTTTTCATCTGGACAAATTTAGTATCCGACTTGACAAAGGAAGAATTCTTCTTCTTGGTGGAAGGTAGGTTTAAATATATTGTTACGGAGCGCTATTTAATAGACCGTTTAATGGCCAGATTGAAAACCTTGATCGTCTGGAATAACAATATTTAAGGACAGAGCGAAATGACCTTAAAAAAGAAAAAAAGTACTTTTTCTCTTATAAGGCGTGATAGTCATGTTTATCACATATAGTCTTATGATCATAAAATGAGCAGATGTATTTAATATTTCACTGAAAGGATAAACACTGATATGTAGTCGAACTCATAAGGTCACCGTCAAAGAATGGCTGGTAGAATTATGCCATCTACACTGAATTCTGATGCAGCCATGGTAATGTTTTGCTTTAATTTCCTCATACTATGTTTATTCATAAATGGATAACAAACACCGTATTGTGTATTGGTATTTGAGGGTTCTCTGATTATTAGGATGCACTTAAGGGTGAGTTTTTTCAGCCATGGTTGCGGGTCACGTGAGCATCAACTGCACATATATTGATCGTGCAACACTGTCGCAGCCTCTGGTAATCATTAATGATAAAAAGAAATTTGTCAAGGATAAGGCTTAATTGACCAGAGAGCCAAGAGCCTGTGATGTTAGTTGTGGTACAAATCTGGCGTTAGCGACGTATTTTCTGCCTTTTTGATGAGGCACAACAAGCAGCGGTCAGGACCTAAGCAGAGGTCTCCCGAAAGAATGAAGGGACAAGATGGTTTTATAAATAATTTTCATTCAGCGTTTTTTTTCGCGTCTCGTATTTTTCATATCCATAAACATCTTGAATTTACTTTTTGCTGTGTGACTACAGATTACTCTTACTCCGACTACAGAAAGTATAGGACCTCAAAGATGAAGCTTAACATTTCAATTATTTTTTGTGCGTCTGACTTTCAAATTTGAGGTCATGTATCAACAGACGTATTACAAAAGCCATTCGGCCACATTTCCTCCATCTAAAGGAAATTCCCATTTCAGTAGGCCTACAAACTAATGAAAATATTGATAAATATAATTTTTAACGAAACTCCTTCAACAAAAATACATGTACATGTACATTAGTGTGGCATATTTGACTAGTGAAATAATTACTTAATCAAATCATTAATTAGTAATTACTTTTGAGTAAAGAAGACAATGTAATAAAGGAAACTGTTTCTTGTCAGCTTCAGCAAAGAGACGTCACAATGGGAGACCCAAACGACCCCGGAAAGTCGTACCCTCCTCCAACCTACGACCAAGCTCCCGGCCAACCGGATTACGGACAACAGCCGGGTTACGGACAACAGCCGGGTTATGGACAACAGCCGGGTTATGGACAACAGCCGGGTTATGGACAACAACCGCNTATATGATTATGTCTACTAAAATTCCATTATAACAACTTATGTCTTATCACTACCAATTATTTTTTCAAATTCAAACAAGGAAATAACTACATCACCCCTCCTCTCTCTTTCTCTGTATGTGTTTGTGTTGAACGTGTAGGGCCAACCATGGATTCAGCTCTCTGAACGACACCTTGTCATAATGCAACTTTGTTCCCTATATACATGTATAACATTAAAAAATAACCCAGTATAAGCAAATGATTTTATGCTCTGAATTAACGCTTTAATTTCAGAACCAGCTATCGTTCTATATCCCTGCGATGGATCAGCAGACGACATCAGACTCGAACCATGCATACGACAACGCTGCCTACGTCAGCATGAACGACGGCGCCATTCAGAATGGCCTCAATCCCAAGAATATAGAAATAAAAATTGAACCAAATATTAATGGATCAGATATTAAAAGCAAGACGAGCACGCCATCCCCACAGTCGTCTGCGACCGAAAGCAGCAGCCATTCTTCAGAAAAGAAAAACTCAGCCCGCTTTTCTGTTTTTGTGGTTTGTTCTGTATTAGCGACTATCGTGCTTGGGGCGGCCATATTTGTATCGATATATTTTGCAAGTAAGTCTTATTTTCATTGTTCACTTTTAAGCACTAAATAAAAGAAACTTGAAATGGGTTTACAGGATTTTTGTTCGAGAAGTGCCAGTAATGTACAATAAGTGTGTTTACTTTCTAGGAAAGTTACAAAGGATTAACAGTTAAAATTTCATGTAGATTTGTAGCCACGTTGAGAGAAGGTGATTTCATTTCAAGGGCCTACCGCATTGATATCTTGGGACGGTGATATTTGTATCGATATATTTTGATTTTCAATGGATGATTGACTTTTAAAATTTAGTGTTTATTTGTCATTTATAAATTTTCAGCATCCGATCCAGCTCAAAATACAAACGAAGGTAAAACATTTTAAATATCATTATTGCTTTAACAAGATAACGGTTTTCAAATTTATAAAACAGATTTTTAATAGTGATTCCCTCCAAACATGCTTTCATTTTCAATTCACATCAATTTCTTTTCTGTTCACATCTGTTTCTTTTCAAGAGATCTTTCAAACTATTAATTTTTCTATTTTAAAATTAAAAAATCAAGCAAAATCTCATGTAATTAACTCTGACATTTCCCATTCTTGCTAAACGTGAAAACAATTTTTAAAAAAATTCTTGACTCTTAAGAAAATTATATTCACACTTGATTACTTTCTAGGCTTTTCAGTGAATTGACTTTGCATCTTTTATTTCCATCATTTATTGTACAGTTTAAAAACAACTTGTGAATACGTGAAATAAGTAGTAGGGGATAATTTAACGCCATAGACAAAAAAAGTACACATATCGTGATACTTTTTAATTTTTTCCAGCGGCACAAAAGACAGTTGTGGGAGAGTTGACAATATCAAACTGGAATTACTCCCCAGATTTACAAGATCCAGCATCGAAAGAATATAAAAACCTGGCATACGTTTTCTGTACAGAGGTGTGTGTGTGTGTGTGTGTGTGTGTGTGTGAGAGAGAGAGAGAGAGAGAGAGAGAGAGAGAGAGAGGGATCCATTTTGACTTCCCTAACTAGTATTAGACACAAAAAACCTAGACTTGTTGCGATTTTATTTATTTATTAGGTAATATAAGGGAAGTACAAAATAATCTTCTTAATATATCTTAAATATTATGTTGAATAACGCTCAGAAAGAATAGATCGTCAATTGTGTTTAAATTAAATCGTCTTATGAAACTTAAATAGAGGATACAGTTTCAGTTTATTTAGCGTGCAACTCCAGGTAAATGTAAGAGTCTACCGTTTCACTTCAGATAGATGCTGTGTACAAACGTTCCAGGTTTGCTCACCTGTACGCGGGCTGTCAGGTGACGCAATTTAGGTAATGCTCACTTGAAAAAAAAACTGTTATTTTGTTCTTTGCAATTTCACATTTTCCCTTTACTAAGCTTTTTTTTGCCATGGTAAAATCTTAAGGGCTTTTTGGCATAAAATGCATTGAGAGGCGATTTCTTAGTAGGTTAAACGACTAATACCTTTGTAGGACTAGCGCAACCATGAACTGTGAAGCAAAATTCAAATATTTAATCTTGGCAGTTACCGCCGGGCAAGTTTTGGTCATGGTCTTGTACATTTGCACTTTAATATTTTAGAGCTGGTAGTGTCCGTGTTACATACAAAATTGGCTTCAAGACAAACAGCGACGAGATGGTAGGGAAGGCGGTGGAAACCCTTAATAACGCAGTGAGGGAAGAAGGAGACGCCTTCACTGGGTGGAAAATTGATATCAGCAAAGTAAAATTTTCAGGTACCGGTATGATCTATGTACTAAACAAGAGGGGATTTTCAAAAAGATAAAAAAATATAAGAACTGGTTTCTTTTGCAAAAAGCTTATATAGAATTTAAACATGTCTCGAAAATAAATCGCACATTACTATTGTATCAGTCCAAAATTATTTTGATTTTAATTTATGTAATACTCCGGTTCTAGTTGCATTATTGACAGCAGCCACTTCTACTCCTGCGACGCCAACCCTGTCCGTTACAACAAGTCTCAAAGAGAAAAATGTCACCAGCACAACGGGTACCACATCCTTCGTCACAACAGGTGACACCTATTCTACCGTGACGAAAATAGTCTCAACTTCTACGCCAACTTCAACAGTTAAGACGACTACCGCCTCCTTGCTTCGTTCAACTGTTATGACGCACAGTCCGGTCACTACCGTCAACACGAGCACTCCTGGCACGAGCAGCACGGCGATACCAACGACCCCCTACCGTATGTGTTCTGTTACTACTACTACTACTACTACTACTACTATTATTATTATTATTATTATTATTATTATTATTATTATTATTATAACTGTGTCTGTAGCTGTAATTTTTTTCCTCAGGTAGTTCTTCGTTTGATTCTTTATTTTTATACATAGCAGTAATATATCCGATGACATATACATGTATTTAAATGATATATTGCTACTACATACATGTATATTACTGCGTAAATAAGAGAAGACTCTCGTTGTGAATCATCGTCAGAGACACTTCTTACCCATGATGTGTAGTATGTATAACGTGAGCTGCTGTAAAATGTGTGACGTCTTTTAGAATACACTGTAGGCTCTTTAACCTGTTTGATCCTATAAGAACTGCTCTATCCTATTTGATCCTGTGAGAATATCTCTATTCTGTTTGATCCCGTTTCAGCCTGTGGTGCCTTCCAGTGGGCGTGCCTGGACGGTAGTGCCTGTGTGTGGGAGAGCTGGCTGTGTGACAGGGAGGACGACTGCAGTGACGGCTCCGATGAAATGCAAAACTGCGGTAAGGCCAAGCACGGTTTAAAAAAAAAAAAAAAAAAAAAAAAAAAAAAAAAAAAAAAAAAAAAAAAAAATACAATAATAATAATAATAATTATAATAAAAATTTAAAATAAAAATAATAATAATTGAAAAAAAATAAGATAATAAAATAAAATAAAGTCAGTTACCCTGGGTAAGAACTTAATTACCAGCGTTACATGGTCACATGGTCACATGCGCACGTCTTAACCTATCAGGAACAGTGTAACAGCATTCTCAACTAAGCCAAGCTTTTTTTTTTGTGAAACCGGGGTCTGATAAAACTGGTAGGAAGGCGAATTCCATCTTTTTATTCTAAAACATGATGTTTAACGGACAAAGTGTGAGCAATTTTAAAAGGTTCACCATATGCTTTTCCCAAAGTCATACGTAGTTTCAATATATCTGCCATCCTGCAAAGCTCCTATTTTTTCCAATCGATACCTTAAAAGACTATAAAACCCTTAAGTTGAAGTACATGGCGTCGAGAGTTCACAGTGATATATACAAGAACATACCATAAAATAAATAAATAACTGCTTAAAGTAGAGAATTCAAGTCGAGCAATGATTTCTGAGTACGAGAAACTTCCTTTTCTTTTTCAGAAAAAATTCATTTGATCGAGGAAAAAGCGTATAGGTGCTTTAAGGCATATAAAAACAGTAACATGAATGTTTTCCGTTGGTCTACTGTAGGAATTCATACTTTCACAGCAATGCCGAATGCATTTTTCAGCATTTGAAAAGAAAAATGTATTGCTGCGATAAAAATACTGATTTTATCAAAACTAGCTTCGGTCACTCTAGTTGACCAATTTATCAATTTAGTCTGGTCTTAGAATTAATGAACATTAATATCAAAGGGCACAACAGTAAGATGGACCCAATGATTGTTGATGGAGCTAGAATAAGTAGGTCAGGAACAACCAAGGGATTCACGTGGTTTAGTAACAGACCGAGAAAGAGGTTATAACCTAGTGCACGTGAGCATTCACACGTTGCTATAAATGGCCACTTGGCCCTAACGTGATGTGTTTAATGGCTTGATGATTTATAAATTTGATGTAACACTACTACTGATAATTTATCTAAAGTTAATTTTAAATCTGATTCTTCTTTACGCTCGAATACAAGTATATTTCTCCGTTTTTTCTTAGAAATGTTTTGAAAAAGTGAGTTCCTGTTTAATCAAATATTTTTGCAGTGTGCACGGACACCGAGTTTAGATGTGACAACGGGAAATGTATCAGACCATCTCTTAAATGTGACAACAGAAACCAGTGTGGTGATTACTCAGATGAAGCTGGATGTCGTAAGTAGGCCTTTACAACTTAAACGATCGAAATATTTCAAGCAAATACAGGCATTATTATTCTTATTTCATGTTGACTATTCATGGAAATATTAAAGGCACAAGCTATGCAATAAATGCAACTTTCACGAACACGAGGAGTCATCAAATTCCTCTTATATTTGTTATGTTTTGGGTATCGAATGCGTAGATCTATTTTCTGCGAATGCGAAGGTGATTTCTTGAAAGTACTTGTAAATGCTGAGATTGTGCCAGTTGTCTGCAGTCATAGTCATTGCGATTGGTCGCAACCGTCACAATGTAGATAGCCAAAGATGAAAAATGTCGTGCATCAATCTTGCACAGAAAAACAACTTTCCTTCTTTCTTAGAAAATTCATCTTATTCTTTTCTAATTATTTTTTTTCTCGTTGTGTTTATAAAATCTTTTTTATGAAATATAATAAGGACCAAATAATTAGGGTCCAAGTAAGGTCATCTACCGGTATAGAGCTCAGAATTGTGAGTACTTGAAGTAGGTTCTGAATCCATGGATTCTGATAAATTACTGACGTTCACATCTAGAAAAGAATGCAAGTAGTTTATAGATCTATGCCTTTTAACGTAATATAGCCTTCATAATCGATGCATCTATTTATTGTAAATCAGCGTGTTTGGTGAACCAGTTCCGCTGCCAGACGACCCCCCTCTGCGTCCACGAGGATCACTGGTGTGACGGCACTCCTGACTGCCCGGATGGGAGTGATGAGCTTCAAAACTGCAGTAAGATTACAGCTCACAGCTACTACATATAAAAGTACATTGTATATGTATAGTTATATAAAGATGCCCATTTGAACTACTCTCTGTCCACAGGGTGCGCTAGTGGCTTGTCATGAAATTATTTTATCGCATACTCATACTTTTATTTTGTATACTGTTTTGGTACGATAGCGTAATTTGAACGAGGACAACTTAAAAGATTCAAAGATGCACTGGGTTATTAATCCCGCCTTATTTCTTGAAAACGTTATCATTGTATTATGTTTTACACATATAAACATGTACCGTTTTATGTGAACATAATTGTTAAAAATCTCATTTTCATGCTGTTGGAGTTGAATTTTAACATTTCTTTCTTTCTTTTCTTTTTTTATTAAAATCACTTCTGCCGTACTTTTATACTTCTTGAATATATACTACCCCCCCCCCCTATTGCGTATCTCATTTACAGTTTGGCAGAACATTTCTTCCCCTTTTCATTTTTTTAATAATAAAATCTGTAGATAAAATGTACATGAATATATGAAGACATATTCCTCCCCTTTAGCCTGCCTGTCCAGCCAGGGAAAATGTTCGTCTGGTCAGTGTATACCGGGGTCCAAACTGTGCGACCGACGACTAGATTGTCAGGACCGTAGTGATGAAACCTGGTGCCGTAAGTTGGTCGTAGACAAAAACAAAATCTCACTCTTAGAAGATATTGGTAGCTGGGGCGAATGCTATTGCTGACATTTTAAGAGACGGTGTGACAGGAATGGTAGTTCGAGGAATGGAAGTCCGGGGTCCCATATATGATTAGAGTTAGTGGGGGTATTGGGGTTAGTATATGGACGAATGTCACCTGCACAAAGTAATGGGAAACGGGCTTCGGTTGTTAGCGCACTGCCATTCCTGTCAGGATCATAATTTGTCTTTTGTAAACAGGGACTTACGTGTTTGTACAGAAACGGTCTTTCTTGAAAATGTTATCACCTATTGTCTCACCGATTTTTCCTGAAAGCATTCTTCCCTACTGTCTCAACGGGTTATCTTCCCCTATTGGCTCCGTAAACAATCAATAAAATATCGAGGTCCAAAGGTTCTATATAATGACTACATGAAAGCACAGTTGATCAGAAAATTAAAATAAGGACAAACATATTTTATTGAAAACATCATTGGTATTCTAGGACTGACACTGATTGATTTAATAACTTCTGATAGCACAATATCACTGTTTGATTTGCCCTGATAAGTCAAGATTTTCACCAATTAAAGCCAGCAACAATAAGCGATCAGTCATATCGACAAGAAAACACTTAGATATACAATTTGTTTTGACGGTTCTTCAAAGGATGACCTCTGTCTTCTCACTATCATTGTATGAAATATCAGACAATGATAATGCCTTGAGAAGGTATCAGATTTAATTGGTAATATGATCCTGTAGTTGTTGTTTTTTGTTGCAGCATGCGGGTCATGGGAGTTCCGGTGTGAGAATGGCCTTTGCTATGATAAAAGTCGTTGGTGTGACGGCAAAGATGACTGTTTTGACGGAAGTGATGAAAAGCCTAATTGCAGTAAGTAAACAAGTACTTACGCATCTGTTTTGTGATTTTTCGCCTGACCACACTCGCCTGAAATATCTTTAATTAGACGACAAGATGTTGGAATGCTTCAAGCCCCCCTCAAAATATGCCATGTACAACTTGATTTTTACAATTTTATTTATTCCTTTATCTATTTATTACTATTTTTTCATTAATTTATCTTTTGATAAGGTGTAGTGACAAAGAAGAGAAAAGAACCTACCGTAGACATCACATCACAATTACAATAATAATTAAAATAATATTCGTACAGTTGGTACAAAACAGTTTTAACGGAAACATTACCTGCAGAATGAGAATATCCAATCAGTCGTTTATAGGGCTAATGTAAGCCCGATTTTTGATAAAGGGTGAAATGAGACCATTGTCATGTAGGTAGGCCTACAATGTACCAGAAAGGAATCAATTGCACAGTGAATATATCCCATTACATGATTGCTTGCATTGTTATGAGACGTTTGTGTATATCTTTTTTATTTCAGCTTGTCTAAGAGAACAAACCAAGTGTAAAACAAGCGGCAAGTGTATTATGGACTATCAGATATGCGATGGAACTGAACACTGCGAGGACGGGAGTGATGAAATGAATTGCAGTTAGTTGCTATTTTTAATCAGAAACCAAACTAGTTTTAATAAATAGTCTATCATAAAGCTTAGGTTACTTACAACAAACTTTTAGAGTACCATGTTATTAAAGCATCATTGTTTTAAAAGTAATGGTATAGTGAGACATAGCTACATGTACACCCCACGGCCAAGAAATGCAAAAAGGAAATGTTCCCAATTCATTTTCCTAGATTGCTCAGTGACCCAGTTTCAGTGTGGCACTGGACAGTGTATTGAGGTTCAAAAGTACTGTGATGGCGATCCCGACTGCCCGGATAACAGTGATGAACCTGGACTGAAATGTGGTAAGCATGGGCCCCATTTTACAAACACTAGTTGCTGACACTCTCGCACCGTTCGAAGTGAATGATGGAAGCTCTTTACCCTCTACCAGGGCGACAAATTGATTTTCCACAGATATTCACAGATATGTCTCTAGATAAATAGACGGTCATTTTGGTCTGATGTCAGCAAACATGTCCACAATAATAACTGCGGCCCTGGTAGAGGGTAGAAGCTCATGTGCGGAGTCGGAACTGCTCCAGGGTTGTTTTTTTTCTTATATTCTCTTCGCTCTGCATCTGCGCCGTTTATTACGACATAAATTTTGGAACCCTTCCAGTTTGACACAGAGATTTCAATGCGCCATCAGAAGATACAGTTATATATAGCTTAGGTCTTAGCCAAGGATTATGATAGTCAACGTAATTGCTTACTAATTTTTCTATTTGAAGAAACTCATCCATTTATGCAATAATATTTNTTTTAATATACCGGTAAGTTGTCTTTTGAATTTACCGATATGTTGACATTTGAATAAACGTGTATGTTATCTTTTCCAGTACTGGTCTTCAAGGAACGGTTGTCATGACAGCCCAGTCACGTGTCGGTCCAAGTGCTTTGATAGTGACACACCAGCAACAACCTCAGAGCTACATATCTCTGTCGATTTTCGTGATGCTGTGCTGTAATGTTTTATTCGGGCTGATTGCGGTTGTCTTCTCCAGTAAGTGTCACAGCTAATGCAATCAACCAAATGACCCACGTGCCCGTTATAGCACACAACTGCCCTCTAGCGGCAAAAGAACAATGAACGTGATAATGCTTTACATCAGCTGATCAGTTGAAATCATGGATATCAAAAGTAAGACAATTCTTGGACCCCCTCCCCCCTCTTGTGCAAAAATTTGTGAATTAAAGAAAACAAAATATGCAATTTGATCGCCAGAGGACGATAGTGTCTGCTGGGAAATAATATATATATAAAATCTATAATTGTCCCCGTAGTCTGGCCTATAAGAAACTTTTATTCGTTTTGCAGCATGCTGTAATTCTTTGGGCTACTGGCATGATTTAAAACATTTAATCGTTGTCTTAGCATTAATAGCGGGTTTAGGATTGATTTATGAATTGGATACAGTCTGAGCTTCTATAATTAATGAATAATTAGTCAACATGTAACATAATGAATATTCTACTAGTATTATCGTATTAATATCCTTCAAAAATAGTAAGATGTTTTGAAATATGGAAATATCGTAACAGCGTTAATACTATTTTTTATCTTTTTCAGTCCAATCCGACAATGCTGCTCACATATATGACCATTCCGGGGCGCGGACGAAGGGGAAAATTGCCCTTTTTTTCAACACGGTCGGCATAGTATCGTCCCTTATTGCAGTCACGGTTGTCGTGTCTTACGTCATCTCAAGGGGGAATGTGACAAATACGAATAGATGGTGACGTCATTGCCGGAATTATACCAGAGTTACGGGGACAATAATCTATAAGCTGAGAAAACGGGATGAGCTACAAATGTTCACAGGTTACTAAAATACGTAACATACGTAATTATTAAAAAGGCTGTTTATATAAATTGGGTCCCTTTTTATAGGCGGTTATTCCTCTTTTCGGTTAAAAAAGGGCTGCTTATATTAGAATTTCTCCTTGGCCCTGGGCACTGCTCCGGAGTCTGGTGTTGACTGTTTCTATGGAAACCCGGGTTTTGGTGCGTTGCCTGTCAGAAATGCTACAGACAAGGGTCTCGTATGACGTCACATCTGTCAAAGAATTTATGAAGCATGTCCTCATTGCACGAAACTGTTCTAATGGGGACGACCAGTGCTGACACCTGGTGGCACAAGGTGCTTTGTGCGATGCCGAGGAATACCGAGCGATGCCGAACGATGCCGAGGTATCACAAACATTTCGGAGCCAGCAGCAAAGTGCATCTGTTCTTGTCCAGCGCACCACATGTAGGCTACAGACGGTGTCAAACTCCTCTTAGGACTTTAAGACGAGGAAGCGTCACCCGTCAAATATGCTGTACAGAATGTGACCGGCAACAGCAAACGGCAGTGAATGGAGCTTAAATAACATTTAGTCTTTTTTATTTTCTAAGATTTGTAACGCAGTGTATACAACTCTGTAACCACATTGCCTGCATGACCCAAGACATGTGTTCCACTTTTGTAACTTGGAAATTATTTCTTTAACATTGCTACCACCATGTATAACAAGTTTTTGGTGACATATGTCACAGCAATAAACAAACAGAGTTAAGTTTGTCAATAGCTGTAAAGAAATAACAGAAATTATCAGCTACTATTTCGTCTGCCGACCGTCTGACTTCATCGGGCTACAGTATTCTTGTCATTAACTATTTACAAATTAAGCTTTATTTGTTTATTGGAAACACAAAGGATATGAAACGGCTCAGAATGTTATTAAAAGAATTGTCATATATTTCTAATTTTCGATATTCCATCCCTTTTGCAATAATGCTTTGCACTGTTACCTGAGTTTCCAATTACATTGTTTATTGCTACTAGTAGATCTAATCACGCGTAAGTGAGCCAATAATTGCGAAATGATGGAAACACTTGAAACCCTTGCTTCAACAATCTGTACGTGTCTTTGTTACTCCACTTCTACTTCTACTCCCACCTGGTGTAATTTTTTCTCCTACGCGCATTTTTATAGATTCAATTGACTGGCGTACGTCATTTTACAGAATTTGATTGGATTTATGAAACGCAACATTGCAAGTTATTGCCAGGAACCAAAGTAGAAGAGGGCAGACATGTTGAAATGGATTCTAGGCTAACTCACCCCCACCCCCACTCCGACGATCCCACCCCCCTCCCCCAAGACAACCCCCGCCTTCCCAGGAAAGAAAATACACTGCTTTGGTAAAATATTTGAGATTTTCATACAATTCTTGAATATTCGACGTTTACGTCTCCCTTCTAATACTAAAATATTAGAAAGGAGACAGAAAATGAAATAAAAACAAAAGTAGCTATTAATTACACTGAACAAATATAAACGCACGAAACTAAAATTATACTAAAATATGCTGTTATTGTTGGCTATATACTCTACTTCGATACACGAAAATAAATCTACATATTCCTTCGTACGTTTATATTTTTGTTCAGTGTACAAGATTCAGGAAGTTCACTTACGCTCATGAACAGACCAGATAGGTAACTTTAAATAATAAGATGCTATAGATAAAATTTTTTTAAATTTGCCATTACATGTAATTTTTAAGAAACATATAATATACTTCAATAGTATCATTTTTCTAAAAGCAAGCATAGTTATTTTATTTGCATTTTGATGTTAATGAGTTTTATAAATAACAGGCTTAGTATTTTATAATAATAATGAACCTAGAAAAAGAAAATAAGGTTCGAAGATTGGTTATTTCTGGGGTAGTGGAAAACAGTGGGTTCATTTACTCCACCATAACCTGGGGTTACACCTTGATTAAAGGCAATTCTTCTGCAGGTACAACAGGAAGCTAACAGGCTACGGGTAAAATACCTAAAGGGTATTTTTTATTTTAGAATAGTGAATGATCGATAACAAGCAATTCATATGAATCATGACATAATTTTACGCCGTGTGATGCCAATGAAAGGCATTCATTTTATATCGGTCACACACATGCACACATATATAATAACACTAGATGTGTTTGTACCTAAGGCAATCTCAACATTGTTCGAAGAACTACAAGTACAGTTCAAGTCGTTGTTTACTATCTTGTCACGATATAGCGCAATTGCTCTAGCTTGTTTATGACGATATATGCCCATTTTTGTACTATAAGTAAACATGGAATATAAAACCACCAGGTTAAGTATTTTAACGACTTATTTCAAGTATTATTTTCTAAACTTGTACATACAAGTTTATGGAAATAAAGGAATAGATGATCTACTAACTCATTTGATTCATAAATTGATAGCGAATGTATGTTGTGATGCAACCAACAGGAATTAAACAAATGAACTTTCAAGCGACTCAGTATCAGTGATGAGTGATGATGTCAGCATTTTTTTCTTTTTTTCTTTTCAAATTCTCGCTGAGTAGTACCGAAAAGTGCGAAGAATTAGCCAGAGGATTATTTTTGATTATGCAGTGCTGAAATCAATTAGTGGTCTAAATAGAGGATGGTCGCATTACAACATCTACTTGTTGCATACAGTAGTATTGTAGAGCTGCTTGCTGTAACTTTCCATGTCTGGGATATTCCAAATCCTTCGTTTGTTTAATTGATTTGACTTCTCTCAATACTAAGAGTACAAAAGTACATGTGTTCAAAAAGCTTCTTTTGTCCTTTCTTACAATGAGCACTCCAAAATGAAGTCTTTGTATTTTCTTAGGATTACTCTGAGTTTATGAAAATGGTAAATACAATACTAAATTATTGCCAAAAAAATCTTAAACTGTATCAGTAAAACATTATTTCTATCACACCTAAGTTTATTATTCTATATTCGCGAACAAGATACAAAATAGTATGTATTCTAAATGAATAAAGACTGGTTTAGTATTGATTTAATAAAGTAAGCTCTCTTTTTTAATTATATACCTGACTCCTGCCATAAACATAGATAAAACTGATGGAAAAAAAATAAAAATTATATAACTTTTTACTTAAAAAATTCCTTTTTACATTTTTAGAGAATATTCGTTAACTTATAGATACCTGTCTATCCAGGTATGGTAATACTACTTTGTCGGAACTTCTTGAAGCTTTGTGTTAAATAATCTTCATCGGCTTCATTCCACAGAATTCCAGATACGTTACTTGTACTGCTCACTGCAGCACTGTGGATATTTCAAAACGACTAACATTATGAAAAGAGGTTGTGGAAAATACGAAAAAATACCAAAAACATTTGTTCAAAGACGTTGCAATAAGCCACATAATTTGACAATAACGCATCAGGGGACTAATATGACTTTGACTACGCCCCAAATTACAAACGACAGACAGATCCGTCTTTGCAAATGGTTAAACAATCTATTAATTTTTTTCTTTTCACTTATCTTTAAAATTCATTCAAACTCCAAACAATTTTTTATAATCATATCTAATATGTAAACTGCGCAGGCAGACTGGAGTATATTCCGGCCACATGTTCTGAAAATAGTGGTATTTTTGACAGTTGAAATGTATTTTCAGAAGTGATGAAGACGCCTCAATAAAGATTATTATTTTATACGCGTGAAAAAGATACAAAAGAGTATGTATTCTAAATGAATATAGACTAATATAGTAAAGTAAGCTCACTTTGTTCATTAGTAACCTGACCAAAACCACAGATAAAATGAAAATATGAAAAGCTGTGGAAAATAAATTAAAAGACGAAAAAACATTTCTTCAAAGACGTTGCAATAAGTCACATAATTTTACAAAAACAAATGGTTAAACAATCTATTTTAATTTTTCTTTTTTCACTAATTTCTAATTTTTTTTCAAACTCCAAACATTTTTTCACAATTATATGTAATATTGTAAACTGCCTAAGGAGACTGGAATACATGGAGAACGATTTCGACTCACGATCTCAA